AAAGTGGCGGTAGAGCGTCATTTGTTCCGGCGCGGTGGAATATACTCGGATGGTGGTGGAGGGCGCAAGCCGCCGCTGGTGGTACGCGAAAAAAGCTTTCAATGTTGCAAACACGGGCCCGTGATACCTTTTTCAACGCTGTAATCCACCGTTTCGGATGTTAAACCGGTGTGCCGCGTGTGTTATTAAGGGCGATTATCATACCTGTGAGCGATGGCGCGCGCGCGGACCAACCGTATTTCGAAATCGTTATCCACGATATACGAGGCCGCGGTTGTTATTAATAACTATTCCAACGTGGCTTTTCTACAATCTTGTTCGTGAAATTACGCATTTTTTCTCTCTTTCTTTTTTTTTTTCGTATCGTATATAGCTTTCGATATCGAGGGACGAGAATGGGCTGGGACCACGAAACGTGTACGCGGCGTAAAGTAGCGTGATCTTGTAAAGAAGGCCGTTAATAATAGTGATATCGTTGATAATATTGAGAATAATTTTAAAATACTATTTTCAACTTTATATATGATCAATACGCTATTGTCGTAAGATTGGATTATACATCCTCGAATTATACGTATATTCTTTTCAATTTACCATAATATTCCATATCTTCGATTTCCAATCCCGCTAGTTTTTCCACGCGATACATCGCCAATTTTTAACGCAGCAAACCCAATTCCCATACCACACAAACTACGAACGGCGATCCCGGCGACGAGTCGTTGACAAACGGGAGCGCAATAACGCGTCTTATCCGCGCCGCTTCTTTGCGCGCGTCTCGCTACCCGCTGGGCCGAAGCTGACGGTCCGCTTCCACGGTGGAAGCCGCGCATAATACCCATACCCAACGGTGGTGGTGCACGTCAGTCCTTTCTTGCCTCGAACCAGTCGCCCGTCCCCCCCCTCATCCCCCAAGGGTTGATAATTCGCCGATTAAATTGAAAACGGCGAGGCTAATTGTGCCGCGGCTGTATTATTCATTGGATCCGGCGGGGCCCACGGCTTCGGTACACCTTCGGTGCGTGGATCACTCGAGTACCGTACCCGAGTACCGTACCGCGGCTTTTTATCCGAGCCACGGAACAACG